ATAAATGAATTCTCTTGTCATTAAAGAGAGGTTTGAATTCAGCTGCAAAGCTATCCCATCTCACTTTTATGAGGACCTTTGCAATTTCTACTCTTGTTGTTTTGCATTTCATTTCCATAACTGCTATGAATAGGTGGTTTGTCGCTTTCCTGCTGTGATATGGGCTGGCACATCCCTCCATTGATTCTGATTTATATCATTAGTTGTGTTAGGGATTTTGTGGTAGCATTTTAGGCAGGATTGGGGTAAATTTTGTTAAAGATTTTGTTTACCTGATCATGGCAATTATTTATTTATTTTTTTTAACTTTCTAACCTCAGTGTCAGGCTTGTCAAAAAAAAAAAAAAAATCTTGATTACTATCCTGCTAGCAAGATAATTGGTTAGATGCTCAGTCTGACTGAAAGCCACTGCTCCAGCCCTTACCTGAATGTCCCACTTCAAGCTACAGGCTATTTGTGAAAATGGACCTTCCTATAAATGGTTTAATACCTGTGTTGTAAATCTGCAGTCAAAATTGAGGCACTAAAATGGAAATGTACCCTTCAGTTTCCAAATGTCCAGATATAAACTAAGCAAAATAAAAAGTGTGACATTTCTGCAATGTCATTTTAATGAAATACCTTTTTACCTTGTATTTCTAGCTTTTCAAAAATATTTTGCGTTCATTTAGAGGGGTTTATGCATCTTTAAAAAAAAAAAAATTTCTGTATTCAGGCAGTATCAGAGGGGGAGGGGAGAAACAGAGTAAAATCATTACCATCATCTTCATTAGAGAGGATCCAGTTGTCCAATCAGCATGCTCCTCTGCACGGGGATTCCATAAGCACCCCGTTGGCTGTCGCTAGGATACCACATAATCAGGAGGCAGGCCGCGGCCTGGTTGGTGGACTCCGGTGTTGATGCTGGGACGACGAGCTCGCTGTGTGTTGGGGGTAGACAAGAGGGGCTGGGGGTTTGGATACAGCACAGAAACACCCTTGCACACGCTCACTCATTCACTCAGCCAGCCACTCAGTTAGACAGACAAAGAGGTGCAGCATCCTGCAAGGAGGACAGCACGCTCCCGGGGGATGGGGCATCATACCCCCGCATCGCGTTGGGGGTGTCGGAGAAGGTAGGAGCATCAGGGTTTGGGGGGCTTTGTCTCAGCAGCCCCCCCACCCCCCCCAACACACACACAGGCACACGCACACGCACACACACAAACATACACACAGAGGCACACATTTCTCAGTGGATCTTCTGGCTATTACAGCCATTATCACACATCAATCGATTTGTGCACAAATGCATTCTTGAGGTATTTTTAATGTGGGTCATGAGAGTTGTCCTATGTGTGGACAACAGGATAGACACTGATGGAGGCTCCTGCACTTCTTTGCAGTGATGTAAGCTCTTTAGAGACAGCCAGTCTGTCTGACAGTCTCTTAACAGCTCTCATCATCCTGCTGGCTATGGAGATCCTCTGGACGTGAATCTGACAGTCAGTTCTTGTGGTCTTTTAATGCCAGTATGGATGGATCAATTTATTGTCTTGTTAGTGGTGCGAAGAGTTGAAATTGTGTTGTTATGGACTTTACTGGCTCTTTGCAATGTATCACAGGCTGCTGGTGCCTCTTTGATGTGCTCTTAAACACACTGACTTTACCACTCTTCATGGGTATTTGGTTTTTCCTGAAACCAACTCAAAGCCAGATTGTAGACGTGGATGTGGAAGTGGGATTTAGGATCGGAGTGGGGGTGTTCTTCATTGCACCTCTTTACTGATGGATGGGTGACTCCTCTCAGAGAGACAGGAGTTGAAGGCATCATTACCAGAGGGGATTCCCTCCCCTCTCCGCACATAAGGAGGCAATGGGAAGCAGACCTTGAGATGTAGGCTAATGACTGCATACAGGCAGGCAGGCAGGCTTTGGCAGCAGTGGGGCTTTGTTTACAACCAGAAACCCACTTTGCCTCACTGGATTTCAGCCACAATTCTTCAGATATGCAATTTTAAATCTTTCACAGGTACTGCTGAATGTAAAATACAGGAATTTACATTAGCGTGTATATTATTACTATCTTTTCAGTTCTGTCCTATTTTCATTGAGATTTGTCAAAGCTTGTTATTCATACCAGTTTGATATGTGTAATTCAATGTAATGATGCCTCAGATTTTTACTCTTCTCCTTGATTTTGTCCAGTTTTGTGTGTCAAAGCATTTTTTTATTGAAAAGTATACTGCTTAATCAGCCCGTTTTTTTTTTTTTGCCTTTTACAGAGACGTACAGCTGAAGTTTTTATGTAAAGCTCATTCAATTCTGCAAACAAAAGTATAACCTAAATTCCAGCATTTTGCTCACCGATTTGTTTACTCAAGCATTTTAGAGCTATTTGCAGCTGTTCTGCTTTTGCCATTTCAGGAATAGCATATGGTTTAGTGAGATTGCAGTTTGTTTCCAAGTCTCCTTTGTAGCTAAGTGGGCTATAGAGCTTTGCTTTGGCTGCTAATCCGCTCAAAAGAATAATGAGGAGGAGGAGGAAATAGCTTAAGAATTGCGGCATGGTGGCAGCATTGCTTCTTATTTAATTACTTCCATCACACCCTCTTCCCACTCCAGCCCATTTAAAGTTCTCAACCTGCTCACTAGACCTACACCCCTCACTTGCTCTCTTCCCCTTACAGCAGCCATAACTTAATATGAATACCTTTTAACCTCAAGGCTAGAAATTCCATACCCTGTTTTGGCCTCTTTTTTTTTTTCCAGCTCCAGCACACACGGATTAATCCCACTTCCTTATTTATACATTGAGATTCTTTTCTTGTTCTGTTAGAGCTCAGATTCATTTAAGACTTCAGAACTTTATACATACATTTTCTTAAGCTTTGACTTTTTGCCTCCACCAAGCGAGAATGCTTTCTCTCCTCCCATCGTCTTCACATCTTTTCACCTGCCATGCTGAGGCCCCCTCCATCTCATCTGCCCAGAGAGCTCTGAACCTTTTCCCCCCAGTGCTAATGGATAGCAGAGCACCATGGGACCAACCTTAAAAAGGCTTTTATGGAAGGGGTCTAAATCATACGTTCTTCTGCTCGTTACTAACGAGAAGAAATGGATTCAGAAATGTGAGATACATTATGTGATAGAAATGTGATTTTGAATTGGCTAAGTGCTGTTAAAATGTATTGTGCTTTTAACAAGTGAGTTCATTTTAGTCACACTTACATTTAAGTTGAATGACAAGGGGTTTTGCTCATGGTTTGGTTTTAATCTTGTTAGCCTCTGTTGCCTTCCCAGTTAACTTTTACCAAATGTTTGTCCTTGTTTATATTAAACGCTTCATTGTATAAGACGGAGTTTAGAGTGGCCATTAATGTCAGCTAGCTATGCTTCCTTTCAGGTTAAATTCAACAGACTTACACATTAACTTTAACAGACATTAACTTTCTACATTGCATTGTTTGTGTGCTTCTCTAACCAGATGTGTTCTGCAATGTCTATTTTTTTGACGCATTGTATACTGTTTCAGAACCTGAGTTAGTCTGTGATCTTAAAACAGCGTAAAGATTGTTCATATGAGCTCCTTAGTTTACATTTTGCTGTTCCTGTTGTATTTGTTTGTCAAAACAAAAAGAAGAAGCCTTGATTTTCCAGCTGAGGCTCATGTCCTTTGCAGATTCCTGTCAGGCAGTATGACGACATATCTTTCTTTGGAAAAGCAGAGATATAATTGAAGCAATGCAACTAGACCTGTCCTGTTTGACGGTATACTCCTGTTTACTTTAGGACTTGTATGTATTATTTTAATGAGGCTAACCTTATAAAATGCAGTTAAGTAAGCAGTTTAATAACAACAGCACAAGAAAAGAGACTAATTCCTAATTTGGAACAGAAACAACTAAGAGCTTCGAAATATGTTTTACATCTTAACAAAAGACAATATAATAAGGTACAACACCTAACAATAGCAAAATGCAAATGAGTGCTTCTAGTACAACATACTGTGGTGTTCCCACGTTGGTTTGTATCAGAATGGATGCTCAGTGTAACCAGGTTTGTTGGATTTACCAGACAGATTGATCAGCTTGAAAAGAATCTAGTTTTTAGATTCTGCTGTAGCAGAAGTTTTTGTTGTCCATCTTTAAACCATGTCATCTTTTATTTTAATTTCAGTTAAATACACAGTCAGCTATGTTAATGAATTTTTCTTTTCTTTTCAGTATCTTTTAAGCTGCAACTAATGATTGTTTTCAAGCAGTTAAAAAAGAGACATCTTGAAAAGTCCTGTTTTTTTTTTCTAACCAATGCTGCTAATTTCTAAAGAATGGTGAAAAATAATTTATCAATTACTGAAATTGTTTAGCAAATAATTTTTTCAGGAATCCCTTCTGTGGTCGTGAAATATATGTAGTTCTTTATTCATTCATAAGTTTAAGAATTCAAATAACAATTATTTACATTATTAACTGAGCTGAAGTTTATTTTTTGGATAACTGAATAACCATTTGGTCTATACAATGTCAGAAAATAACAACAAACTCCCAGCACATATTCCTTAAGCCCAAGTTGAAATGTCGAAATGCACCTGGTGAAACCTTGGTACTTTTAAGTGAACACAATATCAAAGTTGATGCCAATTATTTTGAATTAATAATTTTAGTTACAAAAAACTGACACTGATGGAGAAATTTGCATTTGCTCATTCAAAAGGACTTATGGTGCAACAGGTCGAAATGATTTATCTCTAATGCTCAAACTCATTTTTACCTCACCAGTTAATTACTTCCTTAATATTTTATATGCATTACTGGTCCTCCATTTACTTCTGCTGTTTATGAACTGCCATGTTCAGGTGTACTTTAGCTTCTGCTACTCGGTTCTGCTGTTTCCCTTTTTTTCACTTGTATGTAGTCATAGAAACATATTTCTTGGGTTTCTGTTCAAAGAAAGTATATGATATATGTTGCCTTTTTCTCATGTGCTCTCCTTTTTTCTCTCTCTCTCTCTCTTCAAGGCACAGGAGAGCCATTCAGAAGAGCCGGGGGTCAAAGGTGAGAAGAGCAGAGGGCACCATGGAGAGTGAGCCAGGGGCCCCTGCCTCCACTGCCAGCAGTGCTGGGACCAGCACCACCTCCTCCTCCTCCACCACCAGCTCCTCCAGCACCACAGCTGTCAGCAGTAGTAGTACCTCTAACACTACTGCTACTACTACTTCCACCACTTCGACTAGCAGTAGTAATAGTAGTAGCAGCAGTAGTAGTAGTAACACCAGTACTTCCAGTAGTACTACTGCAGCAGGAAGAGCAGTGCCTCAGATATCTGTTTACAGTGGGATAACTGACCGGCAAACGGTGCAGGTGAGTGTCTTGGTGTTCTATTAAAATTTGCTGTGAGCTTGATAAAACGTTACGGTATGTGTGTGACACACTCAGACAACATGCACATACTTTCCTTACTCTGCTGCCCTCTGTTGGTGTTTAAAAAGCCACATACAGCTTTCTGATATAAAATTATGTTTGATGGTCCGTCTTGTAACTGGAAATAATTCAATGAAATAAGAGCCATTTGTCTTCCTGATGAAAGAAACTCAAATGGGTGGTCATTTCACAGGATATGCCCAAGCTGAACTAAGGAATGTTTTCTGTGCTTTAGTGCGCTTGACCCTTTAACCCTAGGAAAAGCCTCTACACAGGCTTAGTCTCTCTGAATAAGGTCAACTCAACTTTTACTGGTGATGCTTTGACAGCAGGGTTATTGTTATATTGAGCCCTCCTTTTCTTGCACTCGACTCGCTAACAATTAAAAGGCAAACACTATAGTCACCAATCAGCCCTCGGAGCGTAAAGGACTGCTGGTCAGTTGTGGTCAGTGAGAGCTGAATATATGCATGTATTCCACCTCTGCTAATTTTACCCTCATTGGGCGAGGTGCGGGTCTGGATGGTTTGGTGACACTGTGGATCACAGGTCAACATCCTCTGTAGTTACTTGGCAACATGGCAGAGGGCAATTGCAGAGGTGAAGGGTGAAGAGAGTTGTTTCTAATTGCAGAGGTTAAGTTCTCTTGTAACTTGGTCAAGGAAATGGTGGGACTTTTCTAGCTGACACTAAGAGACAAGGTTTTATTGTCTGAACACTTGCACAATTTGCAGTGATGTAAAAGACTATCTTAATGCAAAGTGATTCTGCTGCAATTAGCATTTGATATTAGTCCTTTTTGCAACTAACAATATTTTTTTATTACTGTTAAATTAAGGAAACAGTCAGTAATTTGATCTATAAAACACTAGGAAATAATGACAAGTTCACATTTTCAACCTTAAGATCTTCAAATTGCTTTTTTTGTTCAACAAGCAGTTTAAATCCAAACATTTTTCATTTCATCATGATGTGAGAAAAAGAAAATCAGTAAATATTCACATTTAAAAAGCCTGAATGATCAGTATGTCATATTTTTGCTTGTAAAAGTTATAAATGAATTTTCCTGTGAATCAGCTAATTGTTTAGCCAACTCAACTTGATCACCTGTTTCTGCTCTAAATAAGATTGAAACAAAAGAATATAAAATAAAGTGAGGTTTTTGTATCAAACTATGTCTTTTGCTACTCAAACAGTAGTAACCATGAGGAGAAAGAATAAAATGCTGCTGATGATGTAGGATTTTAAAAATTTCTGTGTGTTTTGTGTTTTCAGATTCATTGTATGGGAACATACCCAAGTAATTAAAACTGCACATGACCTCAGTACCAGCTTTGCCTTCAGCCTGAAGGAGTTCAGGCTTGTAGGAAATAGCATTAGTGTTGCTTTCGTGCTTTAATTGCCTCATCTCCTGCTCCTGACAGCTTTTCTGTGAGCCCACATTTCATACTCTTTATATAAGTGGTAAAGTCTGCGGAATAACAGGCACTTTTATTATGTGAAGATATAGTATATGTATAAAAATTTCAGGCAGCGTTGTACAAAGTAGTTTGACATTTATTTTAGTGTGGGAGTGATGTGAATGGTTTCAAGCAGATGTGCGATAGGAGAATGGAGCAGAGAGATGGATCGCCCACTCATTCAGATTTAATACATAAACCTTTTTATATTTGCAGGTGTATCAGCAGACGTTCAACAGACAGCCTAACACAGCAGCACAGTACCTGCAGCAGATGTATGCGGCTCAGCAACAGCATCTGATGTTACAAACTGCAGCCCTCCACCAGCAGCACAGCCTCAGCACAGCTCAGCTCCAGAGCCTGGCTGCTGTACAGCAGGTCAGCAAACACTCATCACATCTACTTCATTCTCACAGTTTAAAAATGACAATTGCTGTCATTGTTGACCTGCTACAAGACGTGTTTGAGAATTTGTGCGTCACTCTCTCGCTCTCTTGGTCCTTCCTATCTCTCTCCTGGCTTGTGACAGGCCAGTATTGCAGCTGGCCGACAAAGCTCTTCACAAAATGGCACTTCATCTCAACAAACAGGATCTACTCAGGCCACAGTAAGTGGAGTTATGAGTGTTGAGCCTGCCTCCTAAAAGCCTCTTTAAGTTATCTTTTTCCAATTAGATTATCCAGGAGTTAAGCTGATTTTAGCACAAAGATCCTAGCAGCTCTATCCACTCTGCTCCTTCTCTTTTACGTACTTTTTGAGAGGTTGAACTTTTTTTGGTAACATATTTAGTAGTAAAAAAAAAAGTTAGGAAATGAAGAGTCTTTTTCATTTGATTTTGAAAAGAATCTAGTGTATAAAAATCAGTGGAAGAAGTGTATAGAAGTGTATAACCTGGTTTTGCTGTTCATCTCTCCCCATAGATTAACCTGACCACCTCCCCAGCGGCAGCTCAGCTGATCAGCCGGGCCCAGAGCATTAGTTCCACCCCCACCAGTATTTCCCAGCAGGCTGTCCTACTGGGTAGCCCATCCAGCCCCACTCTCACAGCCAGCCAGGCACAGATGTACCTGCGTGCACAGATGGTGAGACTGCAGACGCACAGAGCATAGCCACTGGCACATTAACATGAGCGTGCATACATGCATAAACACAAGCACACTCATATGCTGCTTGAATAAATAGACGCAGTCCAACACAAATTCTGTCCCCAGGAGGCTTTGTGTGTGTTGTGGGCTTGGTATGTGTGTGCATGTTGTAGTAAATGGTTTGCTTCATTTTCATCTTGCCACCAGAGTAGGTGGTCAGGATAATCTGTCCAGCCCCAGAGGACTCATTACCAACACAGAAGGCAATGTCTTGAATGTGCATGAATGCTCAGAGAACATTTTTGGAGGTCACAGGTGTTCACTCTCCGAAGGTCCAGTTGTTTTTACAAAGAGTTGCTAGAGGAATATAAGAGACCTATTTTGGTACAGCTGGTTGTGGGTAACTTGTCGGTTTTAATTTGCCGTCAGTTGTGCAGCTGGCATACAGACTGTTCCTGCCACCTCATTATGACAAAGTACATAGCATTGTCACATGTGTGTAATGCTTGTAGCAGGCAGCAAAACACATTTGTCAGTTTACAGTAGATTGCCATGGGCTATGCTTTTGGTACAGTCTTCTGGGGTTAAATCTGTTTGTTATTACTACTTTCTACAGAGGTACTACTTATTACTATGTATTTCTTATGATTTATTGTTTTTCCACATATACATGGTTACAGGTTAAAAACATGGTAAATATACAATTACACTATAACTTTTGTATCAATATTTTTAGTTGTATAGAAACTTTAAAAGATAAAAGTTTAAGATGATAAATGTCAATTACTCTGTGACAAAAAGCAACAATGGGACATTTTTTCACCTTTTTTGAACTTTATTTAATACACCCGTTCACATGATCCTGTGTCCGTCTGAGTGAGATTGTGATATATTGCGTTTTTGCACAGAAATTTTTTCATGTGTGATGTTGGGGATTAGAGAAGAATCGAATCCAAGAAGCATTTGTCTTTCTCATTCAGTTGTCCTTTTTCTCTTTTGTGTGCGATACTTTCCAGGCACAGCAAAGTAACCTGGTGCAGGTGGCCAGGAGCCTGGGTCGGGCTGTTCCCCTGTCCCCACAGCTCATCTTCACTCCAGCCGCCACAGTGACAGCTGTCCAATCAGAAAGCTCCACGCAGGCCTCCTCACAGGTAGGCTCACAGGAACATAACAACACTAAAAATATCGTGATAATCTTTCATCCAGCATTAACATCCCTGTCTGGATCCATCTGGTAAATGCAAACTTCAACATAGAGGTGATGATTTCACACATTTAGCAGACTAATAATTAATAAAAACATAAATAAAAACATGTTGTGACTGTTATATAAACAAAAGCTTAATATGCATCATTGGTTTTCTATTTAAAGCAATGTAATGAACACATTTTTTTTTTAAAACTTACAAAAATGTGCTTGTGAATCAGTTTGTGTCAATCTCTATATTTTTGTCTCGCAAGAATCAGGTCCAGAATCTGGCCATCCGTGGCCAGCAGGGGGCAGCCACGTCCTCCTCTCAGACTCAGACCCTGCAGGCTCTCAGTCTGAAGCAGAACCCCGTGCCCATCCAGCCTGCCTCATTGATTAAGAATCCCAGCCAAGGGACCCAGGCCTCCACAGGGGGGAAGGCCAGCTCCTCTGACAACCCCTCTGAAGGAGGGAAGAAAGGGGACAGTGCAGCAGTGACAGAAGTCCGAGCTATAAACATGAGCCGCAGTGTCACAACTGTCAGCGCTCAGCCTCTGATTGCTCCAGGTAGGTGAAGCTTGCATCTCCATATTGTTAAACCCCCCAATGGAAGAAGTGTTTCTCACACAAATAGTGGCCTATGCAGGAAGCATAACAGATATGGATAATATGAATATAAAGCTGCTTAATAGGTCAGTGATTTGACAGATCTTCGTAAATAGTTCCAGCTTCAAATACTGATGTTTCTAATACTTTTCTTTGTCTTATTTTATAGTACACTAGAGATTTTTAATATGAGTTTTTTCAGCATTTTATATACCAATCAATTAAGAAAAAAACAATATCCAAATTAGTCAACAATGATAATTTTATTTGCAGACATAATGAATATCAAATCTAATCTCTCACCAAATATAAATGCAACACCAAATTTTAACAGCTGTAAAAAAAAAAAAACCAAGAGCAAACATTGACTGCTTCCTAACATTCCCAGACCTGCTTGTTAAGCTTTGTTGTGTGAAACAAGATTGTTTGATACCTCAACACTTACAGGGAACCTTGTAATGATAAATGCTGACTATAATTGGTAACTTTTAGCCTTTGATATGGCTCTATGCATTGTAGTGTCAGTTGGCCAGTCCACTGCTTTGGTCCTGAAATATCTCAACAGCTGGACGACATTAAATTTTGTACAAACATTCGTGATCCCGAGAGGATCAAAGTTAATGACTTTGGTGAACCTCGGACTTTTCCTCTAATGGCACTCATGGCAAATGTCTTGTTTAGCCTGTAAAATCTCTTACTCTCGTCTATTTTCAGTTCTGTTTCCCAACACAGTCTATGTAAGCACAGATGGAGCACTGTTGGGTACTTGAGCTGCTCTGCTAACATGCTGCTCATGCTATAACTTCTGTGTAGACAGTGATTTCCTCCATACGGGTCGCAGAGAAAGTGGTGTGTATGTCAAATGTAAACAGTCCACATTTTTAGAGGGTTTGTATTATTTCTGTACAGACACTGACACTCAATGTTCCATAGGACGTTTGTTTTCATTTTTGTGGGCTGATAAGTTAAACAGCCAAATTGCCAGCCAGCTGCTGCATGCTTCATTTTTGACAGATGTACATTTCAAACCTTAAAATAGATTTGGGGTTTCAGGCAGCCGTCATACATACAGTAGAAATGTGTTCTTGTATTTATAGTGAGATTAGATGAGGAAAACTTTTACAGTTTGCACTTTTAATAGCTTTTTCCTGGCTGTTGCTGTGACATGTCAGGGCCTGCATCACAAATCCATTCAGTCACTAAAAGAGGGGAAACCAGCCGTATTAAAGACGGTGTGTTGGATTGTGTCTGGAGCAGTCTAGCTGCTTTGTGAACTAGGAGCTGTGAAAGGTACACTGCCACGCAAGAGTGTTTTTGAGCCACTTATTGTGTAATTGAAAGTCAGCAGCTGTTTTTTCTTTCTTTTTTGCTTGAATGGTTGTGAATAAGCCAGAAGTACAAGCTGATTACATCAAATTAAGTCTAGTTTGTTTGCAGGATAAGCCCCTTCAAATGTATTTCCTCATTCTCAAGAGGGCCCTGATAAGATATCACAAAAAAATTTGTGTGTACATATACCATATCCTTGTATAAGTGCATGACTATAAACCATGTATACATATAATGCTTTGTTATGAATGGTGTTGTTTATGTCGTCTGCTCATTCAGATGTGTGTGTGTGTGTGTGTTCGGGCTCGTGTGTTTGTGAAGGGAGGGGGAGTAGGGATTATTTAAGCGTGTCAGTGCACAACTGTGTCTTGCTTTGTTTCAGTAATGGATTCACATAAAATGAAAGGGAGGATGGAAGCTGAAAATCTGGCAGCATGCTGTCTCAAAAAAAAAATTAACACAGGTTGCCATAGCAGCAGGCCACGAGGGACAGGTGTGCACATGAGATGCTGGGGAGTTAATACACTGTGGATCAGGAGGAGGAGAGGCAGTATGGCTGGCTGATGGGATTCAGATTAAGATAAAAGCTTCAGTTCAGCTTGACTGAGGCAGGGTCATTATGCACTTTAATTTCCAGGTTGAAATCCCCAAACTTTACACGCTGACATACCATTGTGTTTTGTAAATCCTACATTTCATTTTCTACTTTGATGCTTGCTAACATTTTGATTGCTAAGATTTTGCCACTGCTTGGTGTTGGGTGGTAATTTCACACCCTGTCTGTAACCTTGGCTCCATAGCAGAACGCTGTATATGTAGGCTCTAAATCACTGACTAATTTGCTCATGTCTAGTACTTTAAGTGTAGGTAAAATATTGAAAATTTCCTTTACATTTTAATAATTGTTAATTAAATTGCTTGCATGTGAATCTAAGTAATACCAAAACATTGTTAAATTGCACTTTGTGAGTCAGATTTACCACAATATTGTCTCATTTATTTGCTCACAATGTTTATTCTTCCATCACGCGTATAGTTTAGAAGCACTTGAGTATTTCCATTTAATGAAACTTAATACTTTAATCATGCATTTTAGGGTAAAATATCATGAGGATGAGTAGTTTTCACTGAACTACATTTATCTGACAGCTTTATTTACGGTTTTATTTAAGATTTTACACAACAAACCTTTTCCAACATTATAACATATTTATAGAGCTATAATTAGCTCCACAGCCAGCTACAACAATAAATATTGACAGAATTTATCAGTAGTAACAATCTGTTAACACGGTGTATAATACTGTATGGATTATTTAAATTAATTTTAGTTTTTGTACTCGACGTGCATTTTTTTGCTACAAAGGGTCTTTTTATATTTCTGCACTGTAGCATTACTTTTTTGACTTAAGTTAAAAGTCTAAATACTTCTACCACCGTTTGAAGACCTGATAAAACTGAGGTTTTGCTTCTACAAGTCTGTAACCAGGATGAAATAATCAATATTGTGTTGTTAATCAAACTCGATTTGACCTTATTATTGTTACAGTGACTCAACAGAGACTTGTCTGGATTGAGAAAAGAGCAAAAATGAAGGAGGTGTGATTAATTGTGCTTGCTATTTTTGGTTGTCGGATTTCATCTAAGCGAGCAACATTTCTGTTACTGTGAATGCCACAAGCAACAGTGCTTTCACTGGAATAGGAATTGGGAAAGAAAGAAATGTTTGGCCGTCTGGCATGGTGTAGTGAGTGTCTGTCATCACTAGAGCCAACACTTTACTATGTGACCACAGCAGGGAACCCCCAAAAGCACCACGCGCACAGATTAAAAGAACAGATCTGCACATGATGTCTTTGTCTTAGAATAGTCATGTAGCTACGAGCAACCGCATCAGTTGCCAGCTTCACTTGAATAAAATTACATAAAACCTTGGAAACAGAACGACTTCTATATTTGAGTAGCCCCGATTTCAAAATAGAACTCGCCTGTTTTAAGACATCATTTACATGTCTGTTTTTTTTATTGTTTATTAAAATTGACACTCAGCATTTCACTTAATCTCCTTATGTTGATCTGCAAACACAACAGAACTGTGTGTTATACCACTGCCACAATCTTGAGATGCGCAATTTGGCTTTCTCCCTGAGGGTCTGTCACTGTGCTTTCACTGCAGAACAAGAAATAGGTTTAATTTTAAATTTTTATTTTTTTGAACAAAACCAATGAAGAACTATATTAATGTTACTAGCATTCTCTTAATTTCCTCACTGCTGAAGTGAGGAAGGACAGCATCAGGCCTGCTGTTGCTGTGTTGTTGTAGATTGGAATGTGTTTCATAAAAGTAAGCCAAAGTGGCAGCCAGTGAGAATGTGGAAACTCTGGGATTTTCCAGGGCCCGGTTCTTCAAACACTGAAAGAAATGTACACTGTCCTCAATCTCAGGACATTGCACAACAATACACAGATAGCGTAAGAGGGCTTCAAACATTCATTACTCAGGGGGAGTGGAGGCCAGTGCCACATGCTGAAGACTGCATGATTTGCATGTGTATGTATGTGCGTGGGCGTGAGGTCTGAGTCATTCCAGTCCTTAATCTCTAAACCTTGAGGGGGAATAGCTTTTAAATGAATTTCCCTGTCGTCCGCTTCTTCCAAGACTTCTCTCTGTTCCTCATTAGGGCCTTGAGAAAGTTGTCAGGAATCATGAGGAGGGGTGGTTGTATCCGGTGTGTCCTGATTCAGAAATCCCCCTCCTTCGCTCATACAGGGGTTGGGAATCTAATGATTTAGTGAGCTGTTGCTTCAATGTGTTATTATTCAATTATCGAACAATTGCTGATGCATTTTGACCCC